CTGCTTCCGGGCAATGGAGCAAACAATGGATCAGAGTTTCCTGAACGCCCGTCATACACATAACACAGTCTTGATCTGACTCATTCCTATTGAGCCTGCTTCGCTTATCGAACAGCCAGAAATTTTCTTTTTCTTTTTGATTTGTACGATTTACTCTTCTTAAGAGTGTCAACAACCCTGCACAGACCACATGCTAATGAATCTTCTCTTTTCTGTATAATCGTTCTGACTAATGACGGGACGAATTCTGTCCTTGTCGAGTGCCCAGGTCCTGTGAAGCTCTGTTAAGCTTCTTCCTCTTTTTTTTTTTTTTTTTTTTTTTTTTTTTTTTGGGGGGGGGGGGGAGAGGCGGCGGGGTACCGTGAAAAAAAACGACTCTCGGCATTATCGTTATTGTATGAGTGAAATGATCGACCACCCCAAGTTACATCTCATCTTATCGTATGTGAGTGATTTTTTTTATTTTTTTTTCAGCAACAGTCATCAACAGTGAGCGATCAGGAATTTTGATTGAAACACACACATGAGCCGTCTGTATGCACGATAATGTGAACAGTTAGAGCATGAAGGTGGGAAGATTCACTGGCCATTTCTTATTTTAATTTTTACTCACATTTGGTGACGGGTGAGGCAAGGGCAGGAAAGCGTGGAATTCGTAAGTGTGGTAGAGGAGAGAGATGTTAAGTGTCAGACAAGATCTTCCTTAAAGTTTGCGTCTACTATTTTCCTTCCTTTTTTTTAAAAGGCAAGTACGTTGGAGTCACACCCAACTTCATTCAAAATATTAGTCTGAATAGGCAACTTTAGCAAATTAGCAGTTCCCGAAACGGAGCCAATAAAAAAGGCGACCCTAAATCTGCTTCTGGTCGGCTTTCTGTATTGCAGGAGGTGATGGGAGCTTCACGACTTCTACCTGTGGAGAGAGAATGGCCTTGATGTAGGTAGTGTGGGTTTATCCCCCTGTGTGATTTTTCAGAGAGGGGGTTGATGAAAGAAAGGAAGGGGAGGTGAGATTGCGAGAGGCAAGGCCAGTGAGGGTGTGAGTCTGTGACTCGGTGCGAGTATGCGAGTGACATGGAGAGAGAGCTCGTATTGGCCGTACAATGAACTTCTTTTTAGTATTTACTATTTACGTGGGGAGAGAGTGTGCTTTAGGAAACTAGATTCCTTCGGACTTCTCTGTTTTTTGTCTCTTATTGCCTAATTGAATGATCATTTTGCTTTCCCATTCTAGTACTGAGACCAGCCACTGCTCGTAGCGGAAAACGATTCAACAGTCAATGCACATACAATAGGGCACTTCTTCGGGGTGGCCATCCCCACCACCTTGGTTTCTTTTTTCTTTTTTTCTTTTTTTTTTTTCCGGTGGAACTTCGATCATGGGAGTGGAAGCTATGAGTGAGAGGGAACTTGGTCCTAATCCTGGGCAGAATTTATTCAACCATCTGCTCAGAAAAATTAAGCGGCCAAACAACGCTGGAATCAGAACTGCTGAGGTCTATTATGCTTTCTGACTACCCCCTGTTGCTATAGAGTATACGAGGGGAATTTTCCCGCTTCGAGTTCTTAGGCTATGAGTAGAAATTGGCGTTTTTGGAAAAGTAGAAGCAAAGCCCTAGTTTGTGAGGAGGCCATTGAAGAGTAGGAATACAAGAGGGGACTACAAGAAGGGAAGTTGCATAGCACGATGGAAGGCACATGAGAAACGTATCATGGCGTCTTTCTTCCATCCGCATTTGCCGTATATAATTACTGGATCAAGGGATGGAGAGATTAGAGTTTGGAGTGAGTCAAGCTACTACCGGCAATTGTCCTCCTTTCCTTGCAAATTGGATGCTTATGGGCTCCTCAACATGATCCCAAATAAATTTTCTAATAAGCTCATTCTTGCAGGTGAAGGTGAATTCCATGTCGTGGAGGTTGAAACAGGAAAGGAAGACAAGAATGAGGAAGGGCAAAAGCAACAGGAGTCTCCTTGTGCAAAACCCGTTCAAGCTTCTTCTTCATCAATTATGGCTGTTGTGGTCAATGAACCAGCAGCGGTATCAAAAAAGGCAACGGAAGAGGTTGAACACACTGTCAAGGCGTTAGTCAATGTCAAGCTGCAGCTTGAAGAGAAAATCAAGGAAGTGGTAGGAATGGTTGAGCAGAACAGCAAAAAAGCAGTTGAGGCAGTGATGGTACAGCATCGGACAAAGGAGAGAATCCAAGCCGAGAGAGTGCAGGAACTGGAGAAAGAGATGCAAAGAATGCAAAAGACAGTTGGAGAGTCCAAACAGAGGATTGAGGAGGTGGAGAGACAAGCAGAGGGAGTGCAACGGATGGAGGAAGAGACGAAAACAATGAGAGGAATAATTGAGCAGTCCACACCGAGGATTCAGGAGGTGGAGAGACAAGCGCAAAGGCTCCAGCAGCTGGAGAAACAGATGCAAACAATGACAGAGAGATTTGAAATGTCCAAACTGAGGATTCAAGAGGTAGAGAGAACACTGGCTGGTGAGATGAGTGGGAGGAAGGCAGACGAAAAATGCAGAGCACGTTTAGCTGAAAGGACCTGCGAGCTAGAAAACAAATACGCAGAAGAGGTAGCCAAATGTGGAAGGGCGGAGGCCGCATCTCTAACACTCGCGTCTAATGTTTGCACTGCGGACCCTCATGTGTTAAAGGAGTACGCCTTCAAGGAACTCCAAGATCCAACTAATAATTTTGACGTGAAGCGGAAGTTTGGAGGCGGGAAACTGTTTGAAAATACTTACCTTGGGACACTACGAGATGGTAGTCTTGTTACGGTGAGAAGTTGAGAGATGCAGAGGCACAGCTCGAGACAGAGCTTGTGGACAGGGTAAGAACACTCTGCCATCCCCATCTTCTGACCTTGTTGGAAGTCTGTTACGAAGGGAGCTGCCTGGTTTACGAGCACATGGAGCGCGGGAGCTTGAAGGACTGGATCTCACATCATGATGAAGAAAATGCAGCAAGAGGGTTCCTGACATGGTATGCTCGCTTTCGCGTAATGGCTGAGGTTGCCCGGGCACTGTGCTTCCTGCACTCAGTTGCATCTGCATCGGGTGGTCCCATCATACATTGGGCGATTAAGCCAGCAAGCATTTTTCTGTCGGACAGCTTTGTGGCAAAGATCTGCGGTGTTGATGAGGCGATTCTTGACACAGTCTTCTGGAGAGTTTGGGAAGAGGGGGACTCCGTTAATTGTATCCACAGACAACGACTCACACTACATTGCGCCAGAGTATTTGCATCAAGGATTTCTTTGTGAGAAGATGGGCATCTATGCATTTGGCATCACCATCCTGGGGATGCTTACTGGAAATCTCTCAAATGCGTTTGAAATTATTGAAGACACAATTGAGTATGACACAGCTTTCAAGAACGCTCTGAACACCAATGCAGGCTGTTGGGATGTTCACCTGGCTCAGGAAGTCGCAAAGTTGGGGTTGCGGTGCGCTAGTTTCAACAGATGCAGACGACCAAACATGATGGAACCAGATGCAGGTGGCATTCTGGCAATACTTGAGGGAGTTGCAAGGAAGGTTGACCTTGCACAGACTGCAGAAGACGGATAGAAAAAATCTGCAGCCACATGGTCAATCAGCCACATTACGGTGGGAGTGTGCACGGGCAGCACGGAACAGGCAGAGGAGGTCAGCCTGAAGTGCATCAGTTGAAATCAAACTGGGAGCTAGATGTTGCTGATGTCGTGTGTTACCTTCGTTGGTGAGAGAGACGTGGCCATCGAGCAAGCAACAGAATGAAGCGTCTGTCGCTTCGCGAACTTACTTGTAAGCGATTATAGAGGGGAACAGGGTAAAGAAAAATTAAGGCAAGTACAGGCATGTGTGGTAGGATTATTCTTTTCCAGAACCCAGGGGCTTAAGGCGTATTGTAGCATAGCCACACACAAAAAGCCTCTCATAATATGTTTGAAATTCCCTTCCTGCTGTTTGAAATCACAGCTTGATGTCCGTTGAGATTGATAAGCACAAATAAAAATGCCGATGTGGTCTGATCTGTGGTGAGCGGGGTTCTTGTTTCCAGCTTACTTGAGCATGATGGGTTCAAAATTTCAAATGACAATTAAGGATTTGTATTTCTTACCAGCCTCTGTAACGGTTCGCTCGCTCTCACTCGATCATTAAGTATGGGGTCGGAATTATAGTCATATTGCTTGAGCAGCAATAATTCTGATTAGTGTCACAAGGGAATGATGTAGTATACCGGGAGCAGGTACTGAGGGCTCTGATCACAAAGTGAAGCTTATACTGATCACAGAAGAATTGCTCTGGCTGCGTTGCACCACCGTCTTTTTGTAAGGCAATGAGCTGTTTTTTTCTTCGCTTCGCAAAATTTATGTGGAACAGTTTTTATACATGCGTGTCATGATTGCACTGTCATGCTTGCCCAAGGGCTGTGCTATTCCGTATTGCTCCAACTTCCAAGTGCAGCAGATGCCCCGGACGAAGGCAGCGACTCTTAGATCGTCAGAGCGTTCAGATATGCAATGGGAACCTGCATTCACATGAAATCTTCCAAAACTATACAACATGGTTTCTGACAGCTCTCTCTCTCTCTCTCTCAACTGGATGGTTTTTGGCAGGTCAATGTTCCATGGATCGTCAAGTGCTTACTGTCTGATTAGCAACAAGAAAACTATGTCGTCTTCTGTGTGTGTGTGTGTGTGTGTGTGTGTGTGTGTGTTTGGTGAGATGAGTTCATTGCACCTCGCAATGCAACAAGCTGCATTTATATAAGACACAACATATATAATGCCAATAGCACAGACATCACAGCATCGAATGAGTCACAGCCTGATCCGAGCGAATATTCCATTCGACTGGGTATGCACGACCTCACTGACTTCCCTAAAAAGACACAAGGACTTGAGCCCGAGGGCACTAAGCCATGAGCTGAAAAAAACAATATGCAGCAACTCGGGGAAGGCAGAGAAAAGACAACGAGGGAAAAAGTCATGCGGCATCAACAAAGGACGAAGGCTGGAGGGCAAGGGGGAGGCGGGKGGGCAGACAGACAGCATGCCACAAGGCAAACAGCACAAGGCAGTAAAGCATATAGGCTGGAGGGC